ATAATATTCCATCTTAGGACTGCACCAAAACTTCTCCAGTCAATTTCCCATTGTTTGAGACTTAGGATGTTCACATTTTCCTTCACGGTAAAAAGGGTTACAAAGGCCAAATTGTTGCATGTCCATCACTATCGTGAGGCACATTTCTAGAATTTTCATTTCCGGATCAGAATTCTAAGCTAATTGCTACAGGAGACCCCGGGGTGCCACTGAAGTCCCCTGGATAGGTGTTCCCTGATCTTCAACAAGGAAAAGTAAACATATTTGAAGCTTTGCCCACTTCTGCCTTGAACCTCTCAAAGGGAGTTTTGACCTTTGTCCGTGAACTTCCCTGGCTCGAGCTGAGATTTCACACTTGATAAGTGAAAACATCTGTGTTCAAGTTCGTGTGTAGTGCAACTGCTGTTCCTCCGGCTCAGAGGCACTTGTGCAATGATGCACTCTGGGGCTTGTTCACTGGGGGTGTCTTCCAGGATGGTTGGTGCAAACTTCCAGGATGGTTGGTGCAAACTTCCTTCTTCTGGTGGGAGATTAATGTCCCATGGCTTGGTGTGGCCTCATCTACCTGAATCGAACATTCCCTTGGCTTCCAGGATGGTTGGTGCAAACTTCCTTCTTCTGGTGGGAGATTAATGTCCCATGGCTTGGTGTGGCCTCATCTACCTGAATCGAACATTCACTTGGCTTATAGCGGACTTTCCTATGCACCTACCTCAAAAAAGACAACCTCTGACACGGAGGCTGGGCTGCCTTCCCTGGCATTGTAGTATCTGGCCTGTGGGGCCCAGAAGATTCGTCCATTCCCGCCCATTCCAGTCTTGGCCCCGTGGCAGGATGGATCACCTTCCCCAGCTCTATGGGCCTCTCCCTGGCCAGGAGCAGAAAAATGTCCCTGAGGAGTAAGAAGTCTTAGAGAAAAGTTTCAAACTTTTCCATCTCTAGCATACATCAATTTCGGACCCTCTCCTGCTTAAATTGCTCCCAGATCCCTTCTAGAAAAGCCCGCTTTCTCACCCTCTGCTTGCATCTATGGAATCTGGCTTTCCTAAGCAACAAACATTGGGGAACAAAGAATTCTTTGTACTTTGTGTCCTTCCAAGAGCACAACATAATCGCTCTGTGCTTTCTTGCTCCCATAGGTGAAGGGAGCTAAAGATGCAATTTACCCCAAGATAAATTTGCAAATTTTAAAGACATAATTTAGGGAACCTGCCTTGTGCCAATTTGGGTGTGTGGGGGTCTTCAGGCTGCTTTCTACCTGCTTCTGTTGTTCCCAGGGAAAGACTTCTGGGGGCTTCTGGGGCTTTAGATTTGCCATCATTCCAAATGTGTGTTATTTATAGAGATCTGATCAAGGAAGTCAAAGTGGCTCCTTACATTCCTTCTTTTCTCCTTTCTCTCCCTCTTCTCTCTTTTTTTCTTTGTCCTCCCTCCCTCCTTCTTTTCCTCCCGTGCTCCAGCTTTTAATACTAAGCTGCTCAGGAGAGTCAGAAGAGTCTCAATGAGGCAATAACCTCCCCTTTTGAGGACCTTTTCAGACCAGATGTGCCCAGGCCTGGCCAAGAACGCCCACACAGGCTGCTGGCTGCAGTGAGACAGGAAAGGCTTCATTTGTCATGTAAACACTCCCCAGATATTGACCCAGTGCTGGGCCAGACTGACGCTCTGACGACACCTTCATCCATGGGACAAATGCCCAATTAAGACTCACCTCTGGTTTTTATTTCCCCCCTTGGGGCTAGTCCACATAATGGAAAAATCACAGGTTTGGAAGTCAGAGGAACTGGTTTCGGGGCCCAGCCATGGCACATTTTCCCTGGCTGATGGAGGAAACATGACAAATTCTCCAAGCCCAACCTTCTTCACCTAGAGAAGATGGTCAAAATCGGCCCCCGCCGTTGAATAAGATACTACAGGCGGCAGCATTTCTGCAACTCTAAAGGCAGAAAAAAGGGGGGCTGCAGCCCACTTCAGAGCCTGTTTAGATCCCACACCATGAGGTCAACAGCAATGGTCTTATAAGATCAAACTGTCCAGTGTGCAGGATCCAGGGCTGCATGGGTGTGCGACACAGAGACCGTGCCTTAGAAGGCGACAGGACACCTTCGAGGGGAACTCACAGGACTGGTGCAAGCAGTGGAGGTTTTAGGATATTTTCTGCTTTTTTAATGGAGAAAAAGAAATGCGGATGTAGAAATAGAATGTATCAGTATCTTTGGCAGAACAAGGAAGTTAGATTATACGATGTGTAGGGCAGTATGGTGAAGAAATATAGATGTTCTGTGAAGGCTGAAATTAGGGTACAAGATAGCCTGGGGAATGGAGCATGGGCTCTGTGGCCGGGACACCTGCTTCACATCTGGCCTTTGCGATTTTTTCATGAGGTGTCCTGAGAAAGCCGCTCAGTGTCTTGTGGTGCCTCAGTTTCCCCTCATATGGAAAAAAAGATGAAAGGGGAGCCTATTCATGAGGTTGTTGTAAAGAGCGGTGCTTGGGTGGCTCAGTTAAGAGTCTGCCTTTGGCTCAGGTCATGATCCCAGGGTCCTGGGATTGAGTCCCACATTGGGCTCCCTGCTCAGCAGGGAGCCTGTTTCTCCCTCTGCCTCTGCCTGCCACTTCCCCTGCTTGTGTTCTCTCTCTCTCAAATAAATAAATAAAATCTTTTAAAAAACGGTTGTTGTAGAGATTAATATTCCTAGAAAATGTTCAGAATGATGCCTCATACACCGAAAGTGCCAAGTAAGCATGAACTATGATTGTAATTGTTACATTTATCAGTGACTTGTGGATGACTTGTTGCTCCCAAGCTGGGGTGGCACAGCACAGCACAAAAGCTCAGGCATTGGGATGAGCCCATCTGATGTGACCTAACTGTGTCTCCTCTGGAAGTCTACCTGACTCTCGTCGTCCCTACTTATGTAATGGGTAGAAATAATAGAAGTAAAATATGACTTGGTCACTATGCTAGTCATCATTATGACAAGTGATGCCGGGGGGATATTCTCCCTGGCCCTAAGGATCTGCTCAACACAGATGGGCTGGGGTTTCTTTTGGTCGAGGACGGTCTCCAGAATAGGGGAGAGAAAGGGCCAGGAGGAGGCAGAGAGCCTGGCCCAGATGGGTAGAGATAAGTGTGTTGATGCCTGATGGGTGGGCCAGTGGGGGAGCACAGCAGGGACCAGCTCTGGGAGTCATCAGACAGGTCTCAGCCAAAGCCAGCAAGTTTTTAGGGCTTGGTTGCAGTTGATGGAGCAATCAAAGGAAACACGAGGCCAAGGGAGCAGGTCCTAGAACATGGAACTCTTGGGACGCCTGGGTGGCTCAGTGGTTGAGCATCTGCCTTTGGCTCAGGGCATGATCCTGGGGTCCTGGGATCAAGTCCTGCATTGGGATCCCCAGAGGGAGCCTGCTTCTCTCCCTCTGCCTATGTCTCTGCCTCTCTCGGTGTGTTTCATGAATAAATAAATAAAATCTTAAAAACAACAACAACAACAACATGGAGCTCTTGGAAGGTTGGAGGGCTGATCAGATGCTTCCTACCTATACCCTGCCCCACCCTTCTTCCTCTGAATTCTTAGCTCTTGGAGCAGAAATGGTCTCAGATATCTTCTGGCTTAGTCCAGCCTGAGGGGCAGGAACCTTGTCATGCAGCCTTCAGGTGGGATCACGGGGGTATCTAGGAAGGGGGTTGTCTGGGGAAGCCCAAAGCCATGCTCACTGGGTCCTCCTTCACTGCCTATGTCAGGGGAGGACTGAGGGAACTCCACTCTCTCTCTGCCCCCCCCCACACACACACACTCCAGATATACACACACACCCCGTGTGTTACCTGGTAAGACCAAACCATAACTTGTCTAACATTGCAGGCCACACTGGGCCTTACTACCATTCGGGCTCTACCACAAAGGCAGTGAGCAGGAAACCAGGGACCCTCTGACAACTTACAACAACCTGGCCGGACACTGAAGCATCTCGAGGAGTGTTAAAAATTACCCACACCTGAGCTGCATCCCAGAGCACTGAGTCAGCCACTCTGCACTCAGGCCCAGGCTGGGTGGTATGCAAAGTTCTTGGTCATTTTAAGTAGCAGCCAGATCTAATGAGCCCCAAGGCTGGGTCAGGCTGTTCTACTGGGCATGAAAGATCCTGGCTGGTAGCAGAACAAGGAGAGGGCCTTTGGGACCCCCTTCTGATCACAAAGCCCAATAAAACATAAAGTGTTTGTGGCAGAGAAAGACTTCCCCAAACTCTACAGAGCACTACAGATTGGCACCCCTGACATAAGAGGTGGGGAAAGGTGCCAGAATTCCAAGAGACTCCTTCAGTAAAACCAAGTGCCCTTGTCTTGGGGTTTCTACCCAGGAGAACTTGCTGGAGATGGAGGACCCTTTCTGAGAGCTTGAAGGAGCAGAGAGTGCAAGGAGCCTGAAGAGGCGGTACTTGAGTTCATCTACTACCCCATAGCTTTCCAACTGCTCTCCCGGCCTGTTCCGCCTGACAGGTTGGAATGTCTTCAACAGAGGCTTGTTTACTTGAATTGGATCATGGCTTGAAGGTCAACACGATCTGTGCGATGTTTGAACTTCTCAAAATGATGATGTCGACTAAAAATGAGACTTAAGCTGTATGTAACACATATGACAGTACACACTCAGACCTTTCACATGGTGTATTTCCTCCTTGAGGAACTCCCTGGAGGGGGGAGAGGAGGGACACTGGTTGCTGGGGCGCTCTGCTGTCCCACAGCCTGGCACTGCAGTGGGACTAGGGTTGCCTTCCCAGGTTGTGGGCAAACCCAAAAGGCCTCTCCCTGTTCACCCCAGGTTTTCTATACCCTAGAGCGCCTCTTGGGATCACTGTGCTCTGGCAAGTACAAAAAGCTGGGTGCTGTCTCTTTAAGTAGTAGAGGCTGAGAAGCTCTCAGGCCACCATGACATATCCCAGCATTGGACCAGCCCCTGAATAAACTGGAAAGACGCCTGGTCTGGCTTCAGTTACAGGGAGCACCAACAGGGAACATCTCAGGGAGCCTGGTTGGAAGCAGTGGGGCTCACAGTCTGCCAGCTGCTGGTCTCTCTGCTGCCTTGTGGGGAGGGCCTTGCCGTGGCATCCCTTGTGTTTGACTGCAAAGAAATCCGCGTGGAGGAAGGGGTTACACCGTTTGGCCTGGTGAGTTTTCTTGGCAAATCGTCCCCCTGCATAGTGAGTGTATGCTTATGTTTCTCGGAGAGGTGCCCGGTCCCCCACCCCCTGCAAACCACCACTGGAAGGGATTGCAGTGGAGACAGTGCTCTGTGTTGCAACTGACAGAGTTGGAGCATTTTTTTTTTTAATCCTTGATTAAGAGCTGGCTATATACTGGCTGGGGAGGTGAGAAGGACTATCTGAGAGCAACTAGAAACCCCAGCACATCCAGGTTTGAAGGGAGCAAGGGGACCCGATGCTATTTCCCTAATGGGAGACAGCTCTGCATGCACAGCTGGCAGGGGACGTAGGCTTGGGAAGCCGGTCAGGGAGAAGCTTCCACCTGTAGCAAAGCCCTGGCAGGGCCCTGGGTGTGGCCAAGCCTGGTTGACCCTTCCCTGGGCAGTGTTTCCTTTCCTATCCTGGGAATCGGGCAGGTGGGAGACATGGACAAGGCAGTAAGGGCTGAACCAAAGGGTTTAGGTTCCCGTGTCCAAAAGTCACAGCACGGTGTGACCTGCTCATTGACTAAAATATCGGGTTCACGGGAGAGGAAGAAACAAGCTGTGCTTTACAATGTGTGTGCTTTTCTGGAGGTAGATACCTCATTAAAATGTTACTTGGAACAGAAAGAAAGGAAGAGAAAGAAAATCCTGAGTTAAATATGCTAATTAATATTTGTAAAGTGCTTAGAATAGTTCTGGGGACACAGTGACCACATAAACGTTGGCTAAATAAATAAAAGTCTGAATGGCATAAAGTGAGGCCATAATTCCTGGGGGCAGCCTTGACCTATAAAATGACCCAGGAAAAAAATAAAATAAAATGACCCAGGAGGAGGGGCTATACTGCCATTGCTCTGGCTGGTTGTTCTATTGGCATATGCACTTCCGAGCAGTGCGATTTCTAAGCTATTTTAGCTGGGGGTGGAGAGGTGGGGGGTGTCGGCCTTGCCTTGAGGGCTAAAGGTGATACAATAATAACTGGTGACAATTTACTGGCTCCTGGTCCCTATGTTCTAGGCACTGTGCTAAAAGCTTCACACACTTCGGCCCCTTTACTCACTACCATAAAACAGGCATTACCAGTCCTGCCTGCAGACGAAAAAAATGGAAGCTCATGGAACTTTAGCTACTCACTCAAATTCACAACCCTGAGGAACCAGGTGTGTCTGAGTCCAGAGCCAGAGGTCCTAAGCATTGCCCCAACCCACCTCTCCCAGACTGTGTGTCAAGTCCTGTTAAAGTGCCTGCCACACCATGGGCATTGAATCAAACTTTTACATGTCATCTTCTTTGTAATCTGATAATAGAATTATCAGAAGAATCTTTCTGAATCTTTAAAAGACAGCTGTTCGAAAAATCCTTCAGATAATGTACTTAAAGAGAAGAATATGCAATGGGGCTGCCCTAAGCAGCTACTTTGAGGAGTAAAATCGTATGGAACTGTTTGAATCATTTAGAGTGATAGGGTTTTATGACACAGGACACTCGCAGGCGGGGTGTGTGCGCCAAGTGCTGCATTAGTAAGCAAAGGCATTTAAAACCCACGTTAGGGCTCCCTGTTTGTGCATCAAGGCTCCCGCATCCTGGTATCTGGGTCCACCTGCACCACGCCCAGAAGGGCTAGCCTCTCTCGCTGGGACTGGGTGGACCGCGTTCAGGCCACTATGAATCAGCGGATTTCCCTGGCTGTTCTTCCCCCACCTCCAATGGCCAACTCCCCACCCGATGGCCCGGTCGCCAGCGGAGGCTGGGAGCCAAGCCAGGTCAACTTCGTCTGGAGCTTACCGGGTTGTGGTCCGGTTCTGCCCAGGCTAGGAGCACCCAGACCCCCCTGGGGGGACGCTGTTCCGTAGTCCACGGGACTCTCCCTCCTCCCGCTAATCCTCACCCAAGCAGGCCCCGCAGGTGGGTCCCCTGGAGTCCTGGGAACCTGGCTCACCGCCTAGGCGCAGGCACTGACAGCGCAGCGCCGGCGCGGCCCAGGTGCGCCCCCGGCTGAAACGCCAGGGCAGGCCAGGACCCGAGAGGACAGGGGCGTCCTCCTGCCCTTAAGTGCCAGCTCCCCAGCTCCCCCCTACCCGGACGAGAGGAATCCAGGCTCGGCCCCCGCGTGGGCGCAGTCCGCGTGCGTGCGCCCCCCAAGCCCAGCGCCCGGCACCTTCGGAGGCGACCCCGGGAGGGCTTTTCCCTCGTGGCCGAGGGGGCGGGAGGGGGGGAGGGCAGTTTATTGGCCAGCCCTTGGTCTCCAGGAACTCGGGGAGCCAGAGGAAGCGGAGGTGACAAAGCTCAGCTGCCGCTAGTTTGGAGTAAAAGTCGCCGCAGCGGTTTTGCAGAGATCGACTTTCTCCCGGGGCGGACTGAAGGCCGAGTAACTGTCGCCTGGCCTCCCCCCCTCCCTCCTGCCCTCTCTCCTCCCTGAGGCCCGCCCCCCTGCACACGCTGACCCAGGGACACACCCTGTTGCAGCGACGCAGACAGGGCGTTGCTCCCGTTAAAGGGGAACGCCGGGAGCCTCCCTCTGGCCCCTCGCTTCGCGCGCGCAGCCGGGCAGCGCAGGAGTCTTCGGGGACGCCAGCAGCCGAGCAAACGCACCGAGTTTGTGCCGGAGGCCACTTGGAGGATCGGGGACCGCTATCCCTTTGGGCTGTAAGTGCTTTGGTAGGCTGCGTGGAGGAGATGGAGGAGAAACGTGGGCATCGTGGGCATCTTCCGTCGATGGTGCCAGAAAGCGCGGGGCAGGCGCGGGCTTTGGGTTGGCCAGGTCTCCCCGCTGTTTTTCCGAGCTCAGACAGACAGACGGACCGCGATCTGTCTCGAATAGTTCTTACCGGGCTTCTAGGGACGCGGTGCGGCCTGCCTCATGGTCCATAAGTCGTAAGGGCGCGCGGGTGGTGGTGTTGGGATGCGGAGCAGGGGCTGAGCGGTTTTCTTCTCATTGGAGAGGCGCCTACTTGGGGACTCATTGGCAAAGCGGTCCCTGCGGTGGACCCCGGGGAGGGGGGCTACGGGACTCCCGTGGACCCCCAACTTCTGTTCACATACCCTAGCCCCGATTATCCTTCTCGTGTCCCTCCCCGGCTCTAGGAGCCACTGGATTTAATTTAAACCTTCTGGGAGACATCAGAAAACCTCATTTCTTCCCGTTGAATGTGTTGCTTATGCAGAGCAACGGAGGGGCCCGGTATGTCGGGTACTTTTTAAATTAAAACTGAGTTATTGAAACGTCGTCTCCCTGGCCCAAGGCCTTGTGCTGAAACGCCCCCTCAAGAGCAGCAGGGTTTTCGGAGCCACACGTATCCGCCTAACGGGTCACCCGGGTCTTCGGTTCCCCCAAGGACTGTAAAATGAGGGGCTAGGACGGCAGGAGGGGCTAGCCGAGGAGGGAAGGCGTCCTGCCGGCCCTGGCGGGCTGCGGTCCCTTCGCACCCGACGTCTGGCCCCCTCTGTGCGGGCTTCTGGGCGCGCGTCCCGGCGCGCCGAGGAGGCTGGAGCTGGACGGGGTTGCGTCTTGGCTGTGCGTGCCGGGCGGGGGCGGGGGGGCAGCCGGGACCCCGGCGAACCGCCCAGGGCCCAGTCCGGGTAGGGGAGCGCAGGGCCCGGCCCACGGGGGCCGCCGGGGACGCGCGCGGTGGGCGGCAGGCGGGGGACCCCGCCACTCTCCCGGCGGCGGTTCTCTCCTGCCCGCGCGCCCCGGGCTGTGCGCCTCCTCTCCCGAGCCGCCCGCGTCCCTGCCGGGCCGAGCGGGGGCCAGGACGGCGCCCCGGCGCTGGCCCAACCGGGTGGGAGCTCGGGAACTAACGGGATGCGGAGCGCAGCGGGTGTGGGAAACCAGCTCCCAGCCGCGCGCTCTCCCTCGCCGGGTGCCGCCGGGTCCCCAGGCCTCGGGCAGAAATCCGGGCGCCTGCCTCCTGCCCCCCTACCCGCCCCCCACCTCGGTAGAGGAAGGGGGCACCCTGCCCTCCTCCTGCCCCCTTCCCCTCGCAGGCAGGGGAACCCCAGAGGCAACCCCGGGTGGGTCGAGGTGTGCCGTGGCCTCCGCCCGGCTGCCGGGAACGCCCCTCCTCCTGGGGTGACTTAGACGTGCGTGCGTACCCCTTGTTTTGCTCCCCAAGCGGGGGCTGTTCGGTGCGGGCGGCTGCGGGCGGGGCTGCTGCGGTCGGCTGCTGCCCTCTCTCGGCCGGGCCCCGGCGGCGGGCGCGGCGCCAGGCCCCTGCATTCCGCCGGCGCGGGGACCCGCCCCCCGCGCTCCTCCTCCGCGGCTCGCTCGGCCTCACGCCCCGCTCGGGCTCCGTGTCCCCGCAGGCAGGACCTCCGCTGAGCACCTCTCGCCGCCAGAATGCTCCTCCTGTTGCTGGGTATCATCGTCCTCCACGTCGCCGTGCTGGTGCTGCTGTTCGTCTCCACGATCGTCAGCGTGAGTGGCGGGCGGGACACCCCGACCCCCCCAACACCCCCTAGCCCGGGGCGCGGCCTCCCGGGCGGCAGGTCCAGGGGTGCCTGCCTCGCCTTCAGCGCCCTGTCGTTATTTGCAGACAACGTGAAGTCTCAGACGTCGTCCCGGGGCGTCTTTGCAGTTTCTGGCAGTCTGCCCTCTTTCAGTTGTTTTGAGAAAACCCGAGCAGATTCATGGGGTAGGAAGGAAGCAATCGCCGCGCTAGGTTAGCTGCGCAGGCCTCCACGTGTGCCAAATAATTTCAGAACAGAGCCAGGGTTCCCCGACTTTCATTTGACGAGATTGCTTAGCGTTTACTCCCCCCCCACCCCCCCGCCCCCGCTGTAGATTCGTGGAGGAAGGAAGCAGAGTATTTATGAAGTTTTGTTTTTCTCCACGTGTCATAGGTCAGATGGGTGACTTGGTTCATAAAACACCCTGGAGGGCTGGAGATTGAAAAGTTAAAATGGGTTCTTCCAGAAAAGAGTTCACAGCCCCCTGTTCTGTTTTATGATGTGGACACAGCACCTTCCACCATCAGATAAGCCTCCACTATAGGAACAGGTCATCAGGGTCTCTTGGGTCACAGAGACTTCAAACATTAAGCACCTTAGATTTTTTTTTAAGATTTTATTTATTTGTTCATGAGAGAAAGAAAGAGAGGCAGAGACATAGGCAGAGGGAGAGAAGCAGGCTCCCCGTGGGGAGCCCCATATGGGACTTGATCCCAGGACCCCAGGATCCCCAGGACCCCAGGACCACGCCCTGAGTGGAAGGCAATCACTCATCCACTGAGCCAGCCAGGCATCCCAAGCACCTTAAATTTGAAACTTCCTTCCTTGGCTGTGAGGATGAGCACAGACTCAGGCTGTCTTGTGGCTCTGGCTTTAACTTTAATATAAGGCAAATCCCAGGCATGATTTTCCTGTGCCTTTCAAAGGATGAGAGATAATTCTGTCAGAACGAGAAATATTGATGTTGGGGACTTGTGGATTGTTCTATCATTTATAAGCACCTTTACAACATCTTAAAGAATCTTGTCAGATTATAGGAATAATAATAGGTAAGGAGATGGGCTCAGAGAGGTGGGGCAGACACTCAGGGGATCCAGGACAAGAGCTGGCTCCCATGCGGGTGCCCTGGGCCGAGGCCGTGGCTCCTGCCGGAGTACATACTTCTGCACGTACTAGCTGACACGTGCATGCTATTTTTCTAATGACAATGTGCTTTCTACTTGTAAACCCTGGGGCTCCCTGCAACACCATGTCTGAGCCAGCCCACCACGTCTCTCCTTTCTCCAGCATAACTGTGACCTCTGGCCAGGCCATACTGGGCAGGGCAGGGCAGGGGCAGGCTGGCTAGATGAGTGGAGGAGGCTGCTCTTACCTCCCCCTTCCTTGGTTCCTCACCCGGCTCGTCTGACTTAAGATATCTGGTTCTTTCTAGCAATGGGTCGTGGGCAATGGACACGCCACTGACCTCTGGCAGAACTGTAGCACGTCCTCAGCAGGCAACGTCCACCACTGTCACTCATCATCAGCAAACGGTGAGACTGGCTTTTTGCTCTACATGCTTGCCCTTGTCTGTTGGTGCCATGTTTCTCAGTCCATACCTGGAAACGCTTGTTCTTGGAAGACACAGCTCCAAAGTCGTCGTTGGGGTGGGGCGCAGAATGCAACAGGGGACCAGGAATCCAAGACAAGAGGAGAGGAACAGAAGTTGGACTGGTTAAGCCAAGACCCTGGGTATTTACTGTACATCATCTGTACTTGGGAAGATGCCCTGGAGCGCCCTCTTGTCACTTGGTGTGATGCTTCCTGTGTGCAAAGAAATGCAGACACAGATAAGCAAGCAGTCAAGGTGGCACAATGGCAAAACTTTAGGCAGACCCCGGTTGGACTTTGGATCCAACTGGCATCTTTGCTTTGGTGGCTGTCTCTATCCAGAAATGTCCTGTTTCAGTGACAGTCCCAAGGGTGGTTGGGCCAGCTTTTGATCCCACATTTACAAGACTGCTTTTCTAAGTGGTGGGCCTCCCTGGTGCCATTTAGCATCAAAGCCTTTGAGTGTTTCCTTGTGGCAAGACAGGAACTTGAAGCTATTGGGAGAATGTTAGCTGAGCCTGGGAGGGCCCTTCATCCAGAGGATTGTGTTCCTTCCTCTGTCCTCAGCACCATTGCTTGTGAGATACTTGAAACCAGGCTTACTTGGATCCAAGTTAAGGGGATAATTGGCAGTGAAGCACCCACTAGAGATCTCAAATACTCAGAGAGAGCAGTCCTCAGCAGGGAGCCCTGTGTCTTTGCATGTGGAGAGGCCAAGGAAGGAGGGTGCCTCTTTTGGGTGGCCAGGTGCTGTTTAGTGGCTTCTAAATGGAAGGAGCCACTATGGAAGGAGCTGTAGTGCTTGGTGTTGAGGACATAGTGGGGTTGGCTTGGCATGGTCTCCTGTTTCAAAGCATCTATCCTCAGCCTGGAGAGGGGAGTAGCTTTAGGACATACAGAGCTTTCTTGTCATCCTGGGTTTTAAAAGACCAATAAAATACGGACGGCCTGCCTTGTTGCTAAAGGTGCTCATGATCCAGTATTTCTTTTTTATTTTTAAAGATTTTATTTATTTATTCATGAGAGACACACAGAGAGAGGCAAGGACACAGACAGAGGGAGAAGCAGGCTTCCTGCGGGGAGTCCGATGTGGGACTTGATCCCGGGACCCCAGGATGACAACCTGAGCCAAAGGCAGAGGCTCAACTACTGAGCCACCCAGGTGCCCCCCGATCCAGTATTTCTGTTGAAGATGCTACAACCAGTGAGAGAGAGCAGCTTCGATCCAGCACAGTAAAGCAGTGAAGGGGCCCTCCATTCTGGCTTCCCACAGTGCAGTTTCTTTGCTGGGCTTTGCCTCCTGTGGGTTCCACAGGCAGGCTGTCACTGAAGCATTACAAACCAAGCCTCTCGAACCTCAGTATAAAGAGAAACTTCTAGAATAGCTATTGGGAGCTTATGTGGGGAGGAGAGGCAAGGAGTAGAAAACTGTACTTAATGTCGTCACTTTTCTGGGGCTCAAAAAAAGAAAGGCCTCCGTCTTTACCGAAGCAAGCAGTCCCAAATCTTTCCTCTGAGTGAAAGATGCTGCATTGAAAACATCCTCGAGGTGGCACCATGAGTTTGCACGGTGAGCTGGCAAATGGAATGAAGTACTCATGCCTGCCTGAGAACAAGGCCGGAGCCCTGCCTGGCCCCAAAGCCACAGCATCCGGTGTCCCCCCCCCTCCCCCTTCAGGGTCTGGCTCAAGTTCCCTGAAGCCTCAGGATGGTAGGCGCCCCGCTCGCTGCTGACACCTGGTGGTCACAAGTGGTGACCGGGCCCCAGAGGGTGAGTGGCTTTCCCTGAGGCACAGGGGCAGTGTCCACAGTTACCCTTCCCTAGAGGCATTTGGCCACGTGGGGTTGGGGCGGAATCCTGGACTCTTAGGTCTGGAGAGGACAGAGGAGCAGCCGTCTGAGTTGTGCTCAAACCGTGTATCGGAAGGAGAGTGGTCCTCAGGTCGGGGTCTGTGACCCTTCTTGCCGCACCTGCCGTGGTTGTGTCGGGCTGTTCAGGCTGTCGCAGCCCATCTCAAAGAGGCACCAGTGTCACTTGCATCAGGAAACTTCTCATCTTTCAACTGGCTCTTTATGCACCAAGCTCATTCCTTGGGTTCCTTGACAATGACTTTGGGGTCTTTCTTGTTGCTCGGCGAGGGGGGGGACCCTGGAGCTTGGGGTCTCCCTCCTCCACATCTGCTTTCTCAGATGTGTTGAGGGAATCTGGACATGCCCTTAAGTAAGCTGGGTTGGTTTGGATTTGGGCTTCTTCTAAGTTAGAAATTTCCATGGAAGCTTCGCCAGTAGCTGTTGACCTTACCGACATCTCCCTGGTGGGTCAGCGTGAGCTGCGATGTCAGATCTGATAGAGGGGAATCCTCTGGACCTCCTCCACCTTGCTGATCTGGTTGACCAATTTCTGTGGCAAACAGTAGACGCAAAAACATATAATTACAAAATGAGACGGTCTTTACGAATGAACTATCCTAAGTCTGGAGCCACTTACCTTGGTCTGTGAGTTTGCTCTCAGGATGTTCCAAACACACTTTTTATCGAAGGTATCCAAGTAATTCTTTACTGATACTGATTTGCAAAGAGCACTTTACAAGTGTGTCTGGTGAACATAGGTTGGTTGATCTGACTTGCTGGTTTTTTCCTGAAGGGGCTTGTGTTTGTAGGTTTGTGGGGCCAGGGCTTGGCCCCCCTCCAGGGGTCATTGTGGCCTTTGTCATCTCTATGAACAGTGACCCTCGCCTCATGGTGGTCAAACAGCTGTGGTACATAGTTTGAAAGAGATGTCACATCTTTCCCTCTTGCTACCTCTTGATACTGGAAGTGGTTTCAGATTTCTTACTAGCCGCCCTCAATCCTGCCTGCCTTCTTGTTTTCTCAATTTATTTGCTGGTTCCCGAGCCTCTTTGAGGAGCTAGGAGATAAGTGCGGAGGGATGAATCACTGTGAAGGCAGTGTAGGCCAGATGCCCAAGGAATGGGGGCAGGCAGGCAGCACCAGAGTTCAGGGGAGGAAGTGGAAGGGAGGTCTCGTGTGGGAGGTGGAATTTGATCCATCCTCCAGAGGATGGGCAGGATTTAAATAAATACAGGCAAGGAGGAGGATATTCCCTATCAAGGCAATGACGTGACCAACAGCAAGGAGACTGCGATGCCGGGGACGTGTTGGGCCAGTTGGCTAATATTCTGGTTAGGATTAAGACTGAATGCATATAAAAAAACATCTTCAAGGGGCAGTGGCTTAAATAAGATAGTTTATGGCACTCGTATGAAGTTGTCAAAGACCCAGGCACTTTCTAGCTCATTTCTTTGCCATCCCTTGGATTTGGTCCTCATCCTCATGGACATAAGGGCTGCTGGGGCACCAGCCATCTCATCCACATTTCAGGCAATAGGGTGGAGAAGAGAGAAGAAATGTGTGCCCTTCCCTTTTTATGAAATGTCTCCAAATAGACCACACACTTCTGCCTCTGTCTTGTACAGGAACTTAGTCACACGGCCACACCTCATTAACAAGGGAGGCTGAGAATGTAGTCATTTGGCTTTGTAAGAAACATGGCTTCTTAATTCCTAGAAATTTAATAGTGAGCACCTCCCAGTAAGCCTGGCTTGAAACACCACCCCACTGTTCTGGTTTGGATCTTTGTTATTTTTCTTCCAGCCTAGACTTCTCTTGTGAACTCCAGACCTGCATATCCAGCTACCTTCTAGACATTTCCACGGGGCTGTCTCATGGGCATCCCCAAACTAGTCCGTGTCTTCCACTGAACCCACCTCTCTGACAGGGTTCAGGATTTTAGTGAATGCTGCTAATGTCTGCATGCATTCGTCCTTGCTCCTCAGCGCCATCATAGAGCACCCCCTGGCCATTGGCCATTCCCTTGTGGGTCGCCATACCTTGCAGGACTTATCAGAGCCCCGGAGGCAGCCCCTGAACTCCCCACCTTTCTCTTGTTTATTTGTGACTTGCTTTTCTTTTTTTTTTTTCTTTTTTTAAGATTTTATTTATTTATTCACGAGAGACACAGAGAGAGAGAGAGAGAGAGAGAGAGAGAGAGAGGCAGAGACACAGGCAGAGGGAGAAGCAGGCTCCATACAGGGTGCCTGACGTGGGACTTGATCCGGGGTCTCCAGGACCACACCCTGGGCTGAAGGCGGCACTAAACCACTGAGCCACCCAGGCTGCCCTGTGACTTGCTTTTCATACTGAATCCAGGTTGATATTTTTATTTATTTATTTATTTATTTATTTATTTATTTATTTATTTATTTATTTATTTATTTTTTAAGATTTTATTTATTTATTCATGAGAGACAAACAAAGAGAGAGAAAGAGGCAGAGACACAGGCAGAGGGAGAAGCAGGCTCTACGCAGAGAGCCCGGCATGGAACTCGATCCCGGGACTCCAGGATCATGCCGTGGGCCAAAAGCAGGTGCTAAACCTCTGAGGCACCCAGGGATCCCCAGGGTGATATTTTTAAAAACCCAAAGCCAGTCCTTGGACTCTGAGCTTGAAGCATTTTAAAGTCCCTGCCTTGGTCTCAGTCTTTAGATGGAGATCTTTACCAAAAGGCATAGGAATCTACCTAAATGATCTGTTCCCATGAACCCTCATCTCCCATCTCTTCTCCCCCATCATCTTGGAACTCTAGCCTCCTCTTACTTCCTTGACCATGAACTTCCCATCCTAAGGTCCTCCCCTCCCCCTTTCTCCCTTCTCCTGTCCTTTGGTGCACAGCTACTCATGGATGCCTACGAGGACCATATACTGTTATACACGCCCAGGTTACAAGAGTGAACAAGAGCTTGCATTTCACCGGGTGATAAAAACAACCAAAGAACATGGATAATTTGGGGCCAAGGATGGGAAGTGCAGAGAGAGTGAGACAGGGTAATGTGTAATGAGGGCTGGGGCTGGGGGTGGGAAGCTTCTTGTCGGATTGACCCC